TGGACATTAGCAGAAATGTTTTGGAAATGAGCTCCATGTCTAATGTGGCTTTTCTTTGGCAACATGTCTGTCAAACAGGAATCAATTACTTGAAAGTAGGCAAGGCTGTTTCTATACCAACTGAGTTGAAACCTGCCTTCATGGACGGAGGCAGTGATGATATTTCAAACCTGGTGAAGTCTGTTTAAAATCCACCTTTTTAGCAGAAACACTTGTCGTCGTTGTTCTTCCATTACTGTCGTCTGTGTCTCCTCAAGTCGGACTCGCGGGAGTGGCAGCTGCAGCTCAGTGCACATTTCAAACCAAACAAAAGCAGCTGAAGTGTGAAACTTCTGGTTCTTTCCAGCTGAGTCAGGCCACAGGTGCCGCAGCCGGACAGGTGCCGCAGCCGGACAGGTGCCGCAGCCGGACAGGTGTGGCTGAAACCTGCAGCCCGGGAGAAGAACAACTCCAAACCACTCATATTCTGCCCTTTTCTCGCTCTTTGTGTCGGCTAAGCTACACACAGACCCGTTGCCGTAGCAACCGACTGACAACAGCCACAATAATGTGTCTGGATTGAACACCAAAAAATACACAAACATTTCCCACATAAAGATCAGAACGTTCAGTTCACGACAGTTTTATGGTTTCAGGCTTGATATTTATTTTATGATTATTAATAAGTGATCGCTGTGGTAGATTAGCTACTGCTACTATTAGCTAGTGCTGCTAATAGCTACCACTGCTATTAGCTAGTACTGCTATTAGCTCCTGCTGCTATTAGCTACTTCTGCTAATAGCTAGTACTGCTAATAGCTGCTGCTGCAATTAGCTAGTACTTCTAGTAGCTACCACTGCTATTAGCTACTTCTGCTATTAGCTAGTACCGCTAATAGCTACTGCTGCTATTAGCTAGTACTGCTATTAGCTACTTCTGCTATTAGCTAGTGCTGATAATAGCTACCACTGCTATTAGCTACTGCTGCTATTAGCTACCACTGCTATTAGCTAGTGTTGCTTTTAACTCATTTAAACACCTCTGCTGATAATCTGTCAGAGTTGCCGTATGCGTCGCCATTTTTTTGTTTTTAGTTGAAAATTGAAACAGCAAATTCTGCAGCACACCTACATGTTAAGGTTGTCAAAGTCAAGCTAGCATAAGTGACCTATTTTCGTTCTTGAGTTTTAATTAAAACTTTTTCTTGACCTTGTTGTCTAGTTGTCTTAGTGTTGATAATTAGTAGCAAAGCACTGAGTTCCTTTTTATTCTACATATCAGATGTAAGGTTTCCTGCGTTACACTGACATCTTGTCAGCTAAAACCAATGCTAGTCGTTGTTGAGTCGCAGTTTTTTTGCACATGTGACATTGCAATGTGTCTGTTGCAGTTTGGTTGTGCATCGTGTGGTGTTGAGATTTCACTCACCTACATTCAGGTGTGAGACAGAAAATTTGCCTAAATTTATCCAGACCAAACGTGAGTTAAGAAGAAACAAACATGGCCGACTGGGTAGAAGAAATGTTGATACACTTCATAAAGATGTCTGTCTTCATGTGGCATGGTGGTTATTTTGGTTTCCTGTCTGTGTTTCCTTTGGAGAGGAAGACGAAGCTTCTGATTGGCTACTGTCCCTCGTATTGGGTTAGCCTGTCGCTGAGAACTAGCGAGCTTTCAGGTGCAGACAGGTGACTCACTGGGCAGGTAACCTGACAGAATCTGGTCTGTTTGTGCTGTTGGGAATCAAACGGCTTCGGTCACAGAACAGCGAGTTCAGAAAACACAAAAACATCGAAACCTGGCGGGAGAAACTGGGTCACAGCTCTGTCAGGGGTTCTGGGGGAACAAGTAAACACCACTGATTGTGGGAAAATAAACAGACTTTATGTTGAAGCTGGGTGGAATATTTGGAAAATGGAGATTTTAAATGTTTTGTATTCATTTTATGTAGCTATTCTCCAGCAGAGGAGTCGTTGCATGATTGTAAGAAAAGCCACTGAGCCAAAGATAACATTTGGTACTTTAACCGACCCTGAAGCTGAATCACAGCCTGGACTTTTGACTTGTTAAACCTACATGGATTTAAGAGGAATGCTCCAACTCCTGCATATCAACAAAACCCTTACTTCTGCAAAAGCTAAAATGAGACAAACGAACAGTTTGGACTAATCAGGGGTCACCTGCAGAAGCTGCACGTTTCAGGCAGCAGCCAGCCTCCCGCAGCACGTGTCTGCTGTTTAATAAGCTCCAGACGTTTTTCTTGGCAGGCCGGAGCCGCCTGTTAAACCAGACTCACTGCTCTGGACACACGGAGTCAGGCGCGATGCGAGCTCGTAGCCCCAGGCTGTCGGGTCAGGGCAGCCGCCGTGTTCCCCGCCTCCTTTGGGACAGTCCCTGTCGGTGTCGGTCTGCGTGCCGCTCCGTCAGCTGCAGACCAGCAGCGAAGAGACCGCCGGGAAGTGAGAGGGTTCGTGACAAGAGCCGAGAGGATGAAACAGGAGAACGTGTGAAAAGTCACCTTCTTTATTTTGTTAATGTGTAAAAACCACAACTATCACACAGAAAGACACAATTATTTGATGTTTCCTGCAACTGGTTGGTGAAATATGACTCAGTAAATCAAGTGAACTCTGACCAGATGGAAATCACAGCTGCCTTTTCAGTTAATCACCAAGTGGAGGAGTGGCAGGTGCAAACTGCTTTCTCTGCTCTTTAAAGTTTCTGAAACATGTTGAGATTTAAATCATAATACATTTCAGACAGAAATGTGAAAATGCTATAATCTCAAACTATGCATTAGTTATTTTTCTCAGACAACAGACTCATTGTAATGTTTCAGTAAAACCAGCCTAAACGCAGCCGAGACATGATACGACGTTTCAGAAGCAGTGGGACGGTGTGGAAGGGGATCCACAGGGTTCGGTCACTCTGGCAGGTCACAAACACCCAGGAGAGAGGCGTGACTGGATGAAAACCAGGGAAAACAGACATTTACCAAGAAAGGGGAATCCAACAGCAGAATCCAGCCTGAGGAGGGTTTGGAGTCTCACAGAGGAGACAAACATCTGTCAACCAGAGAGGCAAAACCGTCCAGGGCACAGGAGGGTCTCAGAGCCGGGAGGCTGCCAGGGTTCAGCAACAGGAGGTCAGAAACGGTTTCTGAAGGCAGGAGGGACTAGCCAAAAGCAGTGGTCAAAAACAGGCAGGATCAGAAAACCAGGAACTCCGTGGACATGAATCGGGCTTGAAGGCTGTGAATGGATAAGCAGGCGGCCTGCCACTGCGCCGGAGACGGTCAGCGGTTTACACAGAGCTGCACAGAGCAGGATGAAGCACAATCAGAGGGACGGAGAGTGAGCAGCACCGTGAGCGCAGAGCTGAAATCATGGCAGTCAGGAGACAAAATGGACCAAAGCGTCTGCTCCTGTTCTGACCAGCATTCTGATGCAGCTCTGCCATGTGACTGATTCCTGCAGGATGATGTAGCCGAGTCGGCTGATTGGAGGTGAAAACATTGATTTTTCTTGGTGATTTATGAAAGTTATTCAAGGATGAGGTCAGTTAGTGTCAAGTGGAGCCTCATGATTGGTCCAGAGTTTGGTCAAATTGAACGAGTTCAAAATGAAAAACAAATGATTTATTCTTTCATAACAACATATTCTAGTCAAAGTGAAGCAGGTTGGACTGTTTTGCTCAAGTCCAAAAGCTAAAAGTAATTTTCACTTTAAAAAATTCAACATGACTTTCAATAAAATACGTAAAAAGTTCTAGTTATAAAAAATACATTTTAATCTTTTGCCGACATGAATAGAGATTTTATTAAATACTGATACTTTCCAGTTTTTATTCTCATTTAGCTTTATGTGAAAATATGATGAGTAAAAGTACAGATATTTATCTTAAAAGTAGGAAGTAAGATAAATATTCAACTAAAATCCACCGTGGTACTTTTATCTTTTCTTTACGGCTCTGCAGAAATGCAGCTGTTTCCTACTTTCCATCTTTTCTCCCTGCAAAAACTTCAGATTTATTTCTGTGGAAATGAATCAGATTGTTTCCGATGTTCCCGACTGTTGCATGTTTGAAGGAAGTTTCTGCAAAATGAACTGGAAACTTGGATATAAATTTACCAAACTGCCTCCAGTCTGATTAATAAATGTCTGTTTCAGTCTGATGGTCATTTTTTCATTTATTCTTCTCGATATAAAAAAAAAACAACATGTGATTAAAATAAACACTTTCTGACTTCTTCATGATTTGATTTTTGGTTGTGATTTAAAAAAGGAAAGTTCGAATCCAGATCTCTGATGTTGGTTTGAAGTTTCAAAGTGATGTCAGGAGATTTGCTGCTTTTAAACCAGCAAAACAAAAAATATGAACATTTAAATGAGCAGAAGGTCAAATTATTTATTATGCTGTTAATGCGAACATAAATCTCTTATTAATATGTTCTAAATGATTTTGTGTTTGTAGTTTCACAGGTTTTATCTATAAAGATGCAGTTCTGCTGCGTTGGAACGGCGCCCCCTGCTGGAGGCACAGAAACCGAACAGGTTCTCATTTAAAGGGGATTTTTTACTGACAATTAAACGACGTCAGATGAATTATTCCTCAAATGATTCAACTCGGTTCTGCACAACAAATTAAAATATTATCTAAAGAAATTCATGTTTTCAGTAAATTAATGAAAAAATGCAAATCCTGAAATAATTTATTCAGATCCAACTGTTTTATTCATTCGGTCAGAAATCTGTTTGTATGGAAATTATTGGCTCTAATTTAGCAGCAGAATCAGGAAGCGAAGAGTCTAACGTATCTAGAGCTTCACAAATGTTTTGTTCTAGTAGAAATCTGCGTTTAGAGGTAAAAACACCGTGGACGCATTTTAATAAAGGTTTTCTGATGAGCTAAACTAAATGATGCTAAGCTAACGACACAGAAACGACACCTTTCCACAGTTTATTTCCTTTTAAAATAATTCATACAAATGCATACAGTCACAAACATATCTTTTCAGTTGTCATTGTTTGACCAAAAATAATGATATTTACTGTAGAATATAGAATAATATGTACTGAATATTGCTACGCCTACTACGTCACCATGAAGGGCGGCAGCAGGGGGCGCTACGCCAGGGATGGCATTTCAGGGGAACCGCCGGATCCGTCGGTTTGGACCAGGAATGTTTGCAGTTTGTGTCGGAAGAACCAGAACCGAGTCAGAATATCAGCCCAGAACCTTCAGTCTGCGGCGGACGACCAGGTTTTTATCCCTTCATTCCGAATTAGGGATAAAGTCAGAATGTTATCAGAAAAAGACACAAAAATTCCAGGAGAAAGATGGAAAGTTTTTAGACAGAAAGGAAAAACTTTGATCATTATTAAACTCAGTTCAGCCACTGATAATTTACTGTTGATGTGTTAAAACTGATCATAAAGTAAAACGTCACAAGATTCTCAGCTTTCCTCGTGTTACGTTTTTCATCCTTTCTGAGGTAAAATAGCTTCTATATTCTGTTAATATTATGACTGTATTTCATGACTTGATTTTATTATGACTGACATGCAATGTTATTCTCGTATTATTTCTGCTTTCACACGGTTTTATTCGTACATTATTTTGACTTTATTCTCGTAATCTAACATTTTTTGCCGCTGCAGCCTGAATCGCTTGGCGGTGGAAATGTCCATCCCTGATTGCGACGCTCGCTGCCTCACCATGAAGAAGACCCGGTAGGCAACAGGAAACTGTTTTTACTACTCAGCTGCAGGTAGGGGGAGAAAGGACTTCTGGGTAATTTGCTGCCCCCCCTACTGGCGCTGCTTTTAGACACAGAAACAACCAAGTCACATTGACACAGGCAAGCAGAACACAGTATGTACACATGAAGAGAGCAGGTGGTTAAATGGTAGCAACGGGAAGGGCCCGGCTGGATGTTAAAGGGACTCCAGGAAATCTCCGGCCGCTCGGGGAAACGCCGCCGCTTCTCAAGCGGGAGGCGTTTAAACAACCTTCAGAGATCATCTGAGTCTCATCTTTACCCAAGTTTAACCGCTTTTACTGTCGTAACCGTGGAGGAATCAACTTAAAGTGCATAACAGAGTCATAGTTTAGAGCCAGGAAACCCAAAAATACAAAATAAAAGACGTGAAATAAATCACAACTGGCCTTTTCTGTTCTCAAAAAGTACAAAAGTAATTTAGAAACAACGCCTACCTCTTTGTGTAAAACAGGAAGCACTTCCATATATGGAAGATGCTTTTCACTGTTGTAGACAGAAAACCAAACTATTTAAGGCAAATATGCTAAGCTAGGTGTGGGGTGAAGATGTAAACAAGCCAAGAAGGCAGATTTTATTCCTCAGGAAAAGTTTCATTGTTTGAAACATTTTCTGCTTCAGGATCCAAGAGAAAAACCAACTGAAAGCAAAAGAGAAAACGAAACGCTGTTCATGACGCAGCTTGGACAGAAAGCTGGAAAAGAAGTTGTTTGTGAGCATAAAGTCAATCAAATAGCAAAAAGCTTTCTTTCATAGCACGTTTCACATCTACTAATGTTAAGAGTATCAACTGTCGGCTGCAGCTTTGACTTGTTTTTCTCTTTGTGTCTGAGCCAAATGAAAAATGTTCGCCTTCATCTGATTGTTCTACCTTTATTAACTCGTAAAGCCAAGCTAAGTGTTGTATGGAAACTGATTCAGTTTGATTTGTCATGGAGTTCAACCATCAGGGGTAAAACATGGATCATTATGTGGACAGAAATGAGACTTGCCAGATCGCTACGTTCTCAGCAGGTCTCAATGCGCAAATCCAACGTTTTTAGCATGATCGTTCATTCTACTTATTAAAAGTGACCGAAGTTAGACTCCTTTTACTCACGATAATCCAAATGTGCCGAAGACATGTCGCCCAGCGGCGCTCTGATTATGGCTCTTTTTACAGTAGTAAAGATGGCCGCCATGGCGCTCTGTTTACAGCAGTAAAGATGGCCGCCGTGGCGCTCTGTTGACAGCAGTAAAGATGGCCGCTGTGGCGCTCTGGTTACAGCAGTAAAGATGGCCGCTGTGGCGCTCTGGTTACAGCAGTAAAGATGGCCGCTGTGGCGCTCTGGTTACAGCAGTAAAGATGGCCGCTGTGGCGCTCTGGTTACAGCAGTAAAGATGGCCGCTGTGGCGCTCTGGCGGTAAAGATTTAGATCCACATGTGTAAGTAAAACAAATTGTATTTTTGGGGTCAAAGAATCTGAATTGGGTCACATCTGCCTGCTGTTTGACCGTTTGGTCATTCTGGTTGACAAAAATGTAATTCCTGCATCAAAGTTATAATGCTGGTCAGGAGCAGAAATTGCAGCCATAATAGGTGAATTTTTTACAACAAACCATGTTTTTAATCTGTCGCCTCGTCGGAATGAAAGCGTCAGAATCAGCAGGTCCCAGCATGTTTACCATTTCACCACCTCTCCTAAACGTTCCTCCCATCACGCCTTCGGTTCGAACATTTACACAATCCCAGAGCAAAGTCACATGCTCCTTAAACAAAACAACAGAAACAAGCATTAGGTCAACTTTACATCTCACTAAAGTTGTTCTTTTCTAATGCAGCGGGACATGGAAAGGCAAGCAGGTAGAAAAACAAAAGCACTGAGTGGCATAAAAACTATCTATAAAAGAAAAATGTTAGAAAAAACTAGATTACCAACTGCGGAAACGTAGGTTCCTGAGATGGTGTGCAAAAAGCTGCCGCTTTTTTGGGGCCTTGCTAATTTAGGGACAAATAAAAAGAAAACGAGATATTGTATTTTTAAACCAGTTTTCGTTAAGACTGGAATACAAATATCATCATGTTCTAAAATCTGTTCACAGGCAGGTTACATTCATTTCAAACCCAATAACTTTCCTGTCACATCAAACGAAGGAAAAAAAGACACAGAACACATGAAAGCCTCCAATTTTCTGGAAAGGTTCTGGATTCTGTTTTGCCCCAAATGTTTCCATTTTTCATGTTGAGGCAACGATCAGATGTTGGTTTAGAGGAACTTTCTGGGTTGTTGAGTCAGTCCTGTCTGTTGGGAAGCAGACGGCACCTGAACCGGCGGTCGGTGTGCAGAAGGGCTACAGCTGGTCGCTGGGGTGCTGCTCTCTGTCGCCCTCTGGTGGCTTTACTGTGTTCTGTCCGGGAGACGGCGCGTGAGGCGGGTGAGCGGCAGCGGGCGGCAGGGTGTGCGTGATGGGCACGGCGCTCGGGACGATGCCTTCGACGGGCGGAGGGAGGCCGCCAGCCGGCAAGCTCACCACCCCGGAGGGGTACCTGGGGGACAGGAGGGGCAAACTGTTGACACAGATCAGTGGATTTCACAGAGCAGCACAGAGCTGTGACTACTGTAACTCAGCTAACGGCAGCTGTCCTGTTGGAGAACCTGAGATAAATCAGAAAACCTGAGACTGGAGGTCCACCTTCCAGCAGGTCAGCCACCTTAAACATGCAGCCAGAGATATTATGGGATGGCTGCCAAAGGGCAAAAGTCCAACATGTGAGTCTGTTCTGCCTGTGAAGCATCAAGTCAAGGTTTTAGTAACTCATGCCACATTTTTCTGCGTTTCATTTTAAAAACAGTGAATTTGTTTCCTTTCACTTCACATATATGTACTAAGAGTGGATTCACACCATCCCTGTTCAGTCCACTTTAACCCAACTCTGGTCCGATTGCCTGGAAACTCCGGTCCAGTTGGTGAGGTGTGATGCTAATTGACCTCTGACATCTGGTCCTCCAAACCTCGTTCAGTTGAAGTGAACTGATTCGGTTTAAATGTGAATGGTAAGCAGACCAGAGAGCGCTCCAAAAGCAGGAAGTGGACTACAGCGCAGGGCATTCTGGGTAAATACAACCAAAGCTAACATGTTAGCCTAGCGCTAGCAGCAGAAATGGCTCCTGGTCTTCAGCCAAAGACTAAAGAGAAATCCTCCAGCACTAAACTCTGACGCCTCCATCTTGTTTCATCTGGTGAAGCAGGAAGTTGCTCTCAGTGTCTTCAGAGGTTTTAGTGTCGTTTCCTGCAGTGGTTGTTGGCGCAGTGCCTCCACAGGCCAGGAGGGGAACAGGTTTCCCAATTAATTTGGATCATTTGACTGCAGTGAGAAAGAGAACCGCAGCAGCTGGAGGTGGAACAAATGTTGCGAATTTGGCCTCTCATCAAACCGAGTCTGGTGTAGAAACACTTTAAACTGACCCGTCACATAAAATTCAGTAAAATACTGCAAAGTGTGTAAATACGTTAAAGCACTGCTGGCCCAACCTGGCAGCTACATGTATTGCTAAGCTAGATGTTGGATCATCTCCAATTCTTGCTGATAACTCAGGCTGACAGTCACAGCGCCGGCCGGTACCTGTAGGCGCCGTTGAGCTCAGGATGGACCACAGCCGGGTCGACGGCCCAGTGGTTGTTGGGTGAGAGGAACTCCTTATTCACACAGTTCTTCAGACTGTCTGGGATCCGACCTGAAAATGAACAAATAAGGATCAACAAAACAAATCTGATAGGAGAATTCCCAAAATGTCTCCTTTGGTTACTGACGGTTCACCAACCTGTCACAGCCCTCCGGATTTCCCTCGCCGCCTCTTCTCTCATCTCCAGTGATGCCTGTTCGCTGTACCAGGCGGCGTGCGGCGTGCAGATCAGGTTGGGCGCGTCCTTCAGTGGACCCTGACTGAAGCTGCCACAGCAACAAACGCTACGCTTCAGATCAGCTGGAGGAAATTACTCTGTCCAATTACTTTATTATTTAACTCAAATGTAGAAAACAAACCGAGATTCACACAGAAAGAAAACCGTCATCAGCATAAGGTGTGATACTGAACTGGGACTTTTGGTGATACTTTTAAAGCAACAATTAAATTCACTAATTTATTGTGGGTTTTCTCTAATCCACACAGGGTCAAACTTTGCATACACTTGGCCTTACTAACATTTGGATAAATGTCCCTGAAGTTTCAGAGAAACCAACAAGGTTCCTCCATCTTTCTGGTCACAAATGTTTCAGTTTACTTAAATCAGATGGGTTCTTGGTTCTGGTCCGGTGGCTCAGCGTGGCCTTGCTTATCCAGATTAGAGGTTTGTTTTGGATCATGGTTCTGTTCGAACCCACAAACCTCTGGCCCAAACCGTCACACCGCTCTTTAACATGGATTGAGATGATATCAATCAAAGCCGGACTGCAGTTTGCTGTTGGATGGATGGAAAACCAAAACGTCTTCTGGAGAATGGTTCGATGGTCAACGAAGCCAGTTCTCCTACAACTTGATGAAGCATTTGGTCAGTAGGTGTAATACCTGAAAGGTTCTGTCTCATGGACATCCAGAGCCGCCCCACGTATCCTGCCCTCCTTCAGAGCCTGAGCCAGAGCCTTCTCATCCACCAGGCCCCCCCTGGCTGTGTTCACCAGGAACGCCCCTGCCGCATCTTTAACACACACACACACACACACACACACACACACACACACACACACACACACACACACACACACACACACACACACACACACACACACGCCAATCAGCTGACGCTTGATATGACTTTACTAGCTTCCTCGATGGCTTTGCCAGCCTCTGGGCTCAGCGTACCTGTTTGATGGTGAAGTCGTTGATCAGGTGGTGGTTGTGCTCGTTGAGGCTGCAGTGCAGCGAGACACAGTCAGAGTGGAAGAGAAGGTCCTGAGGAGGAAGATGATAAATCCCAGTCAGAATGTCGTCTAGTTCTGCTTTCATCACTCATTAATAGATGGAAATGTTTCCGCTGCAGGACCTGCTGCCTGCAGGACCTTCAGGTGTTTCTAAAACTTTTTGACCAGAAGTGTGAATGAGGTTTAATTTCAGTTTTCAGAGTGAAATCCTCCATGTAATTGATCTGAAGGCATAGAAAGGTAGACATGAAGGCCAGCAGGGTTTACCTGTAGGGTGGTGACCCGTTGGAGCCCCAGGGACCTTTCTACACCGTCGGCCAAATACGGGTCGTAGAAAATCACGTTGAAGCCGAAGGCCTTGGCTCGCAGGGCGACGGCCTGGCCGACCCGGCCTACAAACACATCGAATTTGTTATGTCTAGATTGTAAGTCATCCTGAACAGGATTGTCTTGCTGAGCAACAAGCTTTTCAGCATGTAGGTAATAAGTTTGATTTTGCTCTCCTCCGATTCTTACATTAATCTGACTTCCATGACAGATTAGTTGTCCTGTATGAAATGAAAGGATCTGGACCAGTTTGTGACAGCAGTTTGGATTCTCACCGAGCCCAATGAGTCCCAGCGTCTCTCCTCTGATCCTGGCCGCGCCTGACGCCACCTCTCGGATCTGCTCCACGCTCTGAACCCGCGTCCCTTCCCGGAGAGCCTGGCGGGAGTGAAGACGAGCGTCACTTCAGACGGAGCGGACAGCGCAGACACACGGTGATCCAGCTGCAATTCACTCTGCACCACAAGCTAATTCCTGTCAGACTACAACACATGAGTCTAAGCAATGATTTGAGGAACAAATCATTTTACTGTACCTTCTACACTTTACATCAACGTCTTTCAAATACAGCCACATTCTAAAGAAAATGAATGTTTCAATTTTGCTTATATGTCAGTTGGCAGAGATTATTTGTTAGTGTAAATAATGATGGTGGTGAGCGGATGCACACCTCCAACAAACCCAGTGAGAGTTGGTTCCCTGCTGCTGTCTGGGCTGCAGAGCTACAAACCTGGTGCAGCCAGGTGGTGCGTCGGTACAGGGTGAGGATGTGGCACAGCGTGGAGTCTGCCGTCTCCTCCACCGACGCTGCTGGCATGTTGCACACAGCGATGCCTGTCGGAGCAGAAAGAGGGGGAGGTCTGAGGGAGATCCAGCTGAGCTGCTGGGAGGAAGAACCAGACTTCTCTGGTGAGTCCAGTCCTTTCTGCAGGTTTGTTTGTTACTCTGTTTCCTCTCTGGTTATTTTAGTTCAGGCCTTCTTAGTGATTGTAGTTTAATTCCAGCTATGTTGTTGGGTCAAGTTTTTCCTCAGTATTAGATCTGTTTCCTGCCCCCAGTCTCTTACTTCTTACTGTCACGCTGGGACAGATTACACTTTAATTGACATTGATTGAAAATGATATTTTTGTGCATTTTAATCGTTTAATTTGGATTAATCACAGAGGCAGTATTTTTTTTTTTTTTTTATATACAAAAGTCCCAAGTTGGAACCTTTTGTATTGGTGTGTTTCTGTCACACCCATAAATCTGACGCACTCGCTGCATCCACTAACAGCAGCCATGGAGGACGAAGTCGCTTCTCTCGACTTCCTGGGTTCTAATTTCTGCTTCTAAACAATCTGATTGGATGCTGGAAAAAACTGTTCAAGTTGTGCTAAAAGGAGTTAGCCTCTCAGCGAAGCTAATCTTGCCTGAAATAGCATCTCAGTGCTGACATGTAGCAGCTAATGCTAATGTCATTTCTGAAGAAGCTCCTGAACTTTACGCCATCAGGAAGAACAGATTGAAAGCTGTAAGTATCTTTGTTGTTGAGGTCATTTTGGTTTTTTATTCAGTAATTTAGCATCAAAAAGAGGTTTTTGATTTGAACATGTTGCTTATTTTGGTGATTAAAATGTGATTGGACCAGGATTGATTTATTTAAAAACTTTTATTATTTGCAACTTTGAAGGTTTGCATCCTGTTGGTCTCTACAACGAGTCCCTGTGGACCAGCGGTTCAGCAGTTGCTGATGTATTTGTGTGCCTGTTTGCGGGGTGTGAGGTTTGTACCGAGCTCCCCGGCGGATTTGATGTCTATGTTGTCGTAGCCGCTGCCGATGCGAACGATGATGCGCAACGCCTTGAACTTCTCCAGGTCTTCCCTCATCAGGGTGATGGTGTGGTACATCAACGCCCCCACAGCTTCGTTTAGCACCTGCACACACAGAACGAGCATCCGTCCTGAAAAAGCAACCGAAATCAGAGAAAACAGCAGGAGGTGCAGCCAAATCAACAGATTATTTGCTGCATTCAAAGCAGATTTATTCTTCTAATGCTGAACATATTAAGATGTTGAGTTGGTCAGATGGTCTGTGAATGTTTCGTGTTTCTCAGCCTGAAACAGTTTGAGCCTGATGTGGAGGAATCGATCTGGACCATCTGAAGACGCCATGGACGGTTTTCCCGCAGGAAGAAGACGTTACCTTCTCGTGGATCTCCTGTGTGGACTGAGCGTCGCAGAACGCCACGGTTGCGACGTCCTTCAGGATGGGCATCTCCACGGTGCAGTCTCTGCCGTCCAGCAGCGCCACAAGGGCGCGGGTGCATCGGCCCGTTCATGATTGGAGGTCTGATGCCTGAAACAAAACGAAAGAAGAAGTCTGATCACGCAGATCAGACTTCTTATCTGCAATCACGCAAACATTTCTGCATCCTGGCGCACAAAGGATCCAATCGATCAAGAAGTTTTTAGATTAATTTAGAAAATCTCAGAAGTATCAGATTTTCAAAAGTCAACATTTTCCAACTTTTGAAATTTTTATGGAAATTTTTTGAAACTAATCTAAAAATGTCTGTTTATTCTGGCAAATTTCAGATTTTTTAATAGTAAAACTTTGACTTTTCAAAATGCCAAACAACATGGTTTTATGAGATTTAATTCCTTCAGAAGCAAATCCATTCAGTCGCTGTGAAATCCACCGCAGGAGCTGAAGCACACATAACTAATCATTTCACTGTTTCCATTAATGTCTTACTGTACGTCGATGCCAAAGAAACATAATAATAGTTAAAATAGTTAAATTCTTTTTACAGTGCAAACCTTTTGACTGCAGGGGCTTCCAGGGTGAAGCAATGTTTCAACATGATAAGGTTTCTCTTATCACTGAAACCTTTCAATATAAGATCAATAATTCCTCAATACTGGTTTTTAAAGAAGTATGGTTACGCTAACAGATTATTTCACTTATAATCAGGGAAATAATCTGGAACTGGTGCTTTTTAAAATACATTTTATGGAATTTTTATTTAAAACAAGTTTCTTATAAGTCAGTTTTCATCTTAATTCAGGTGTGATAAAATATTTGCATTAAAACTAAACAGAAATACTCGGTAAGATTTTGTATTTGAACCGAAAGCAGAAAGTTGAAAGTTTTTAGGGGAAATAATATTCATAAAAAGTTATTTTTCCTGCTCAGAAATTAATTAAAGATGAATTGTTTAAAACAGAAAACACCAGGAGACACCAGGAAGTGGTGTCTCGGTCAGATTTGTTCTGAAGTATTGATCTCCAACTGATCAGAAATCAGAACCTATTGGGTCAGTAATCAGGTAGGAGTGAGACCTCCTGTCACTTTTACATCTGAGGTTTCATTGATCCAGGTTTTCCTGAAGGTCCTGCTGGAGTTTCTCCAGGAACATTTCCCTCCAGATGCAATCTGCTGAGTCAGCAGAGCAATCTGCTGAGTCAGCAGAGCAATCTGCTGAGTCAGCAGAGCAATCTGCTGAGTCAGCAGAGCAATCTGCTGAGTCAGCAGAGCAATCTGCTGAGTCAGCAGAGCAATCTGCTGAGTCAGCAGAGCAATCTGCTGAGTCAGCAGAGCAATCTGCTGAGTCAGCAGAGCAATCTGCTGAGTCAGCAGAGCAATCTGCTGAGTCAGCAGAGCAATCTGCTGAGTCAGCAGAGCAATCTGCTGAGTCAGCAGAGCAATCTGCTGAGTCAGCAGAGCAATCTGCTGAGTCAGCAGAGCAATCTGCTGAGTCAGCAGAGCAATCAGCGAGATGTTTGGGTCAATAATTCATTTATTTTAATAAAAGTTGTTCAAATGAAATCACATCGTCCATGAAGGCGGGTTTTCAACACGCTCTCTCATCTTTAGTTAGGAGTTATTTTTAACGCCGCTGATCGGACTTCCTTCTGCATTTCTCGGCTCCGTTTGCAGCAGAACCGGATTTAAATCACAGAACCGGGTTTTGGTCCCGATCTGTTGGCAAACGCATTTCCCTGCTCTGAGTTGCAGAACTGAGTCTGGTTTAAGCTGCAGATTTCTGCAGGACCAGAACCAGGTTGGGAACGACCAGAACCAGCAGGAGGCCCAGTTTGAGCTCTGCGGTTTGCTGGAAACTCTGGATCTGGATTCCAGGCATTTCTGAGGGAGGAAATAACTGTCATTCCAGCGCCGGGGGATGACCTTGGAGGACCGGCTCCACTTCACACGCCTCTGCAGCCCTCCATTTCTAGAGCCATGTGTCAAACCCGAGGCCCGGGGGCCACACCCAGTCCGCCTTAAGTTCTTATGTGGTCCTCTAGACCAGGGGTGCTCAAGTCCTATCCTCGAGAGCTACCATCCTGCAACTATCAGATGCATCCCTGCTCCAACACACCTGAATCAAATGAATGACTCGTTACCAGGCCTGTTCATAGCTGAGCCTGGTCTACTGGAGTAAGGCTGCAACTAAAAGTTGCAGGACGGTAGCTCTCCAGGACTGGACTTGAGCACCCCTGCACTAGACTTTAAACAGACTCATAGAGAAATAAAGCTAGTCGCCGCATAAATTTTAGACAAGCTCACAATGCTGGAGCTGAAGAAGACGATTCTTTTTCTAACCATCTGGAGCCACGTTGATGCAACCATTAATTAAATGAATCCAGGAGATGAAGGTATTATTAATCTAATAGCTGCATCTTTAAGAATAAAACCAATAATACCACCAAAGAGTAACTGAAAACTACTCATGTTATCCTGTTTTCTCACTCTTTCTTTTGGCTATGCTACACCAGGCCTGACAACAGCTCCCCTAACATATCAGGATTCAACAACAAACACACATTTCCCACACAAAGAACAGAAACTCAGTTCGCTACAGTTTAATGTTTTCAGGCTTGATGTTTATTTTGCATTTATTGATAAGTGATCGCTGTGATAGATTAGCTGCTGCTGCTGTTAGCTCAGCTGACACAGCGGTGTTTGAGTAGCTAATTTGAAAACCCGCTCTACTGATGATCCGTCAGAGTTGGCGTGTGGGTTGCTGTTTTTTTAACTGAACTGAAACACCACATTCTGAAGCACATCTACATGTTAAGGTTGTAATAGTCAAGCTAGCATCGCTGACATAGAGCCTTCGCCATTTTACATTATAACTTTTTGATGTATTGTTGATAACTTTTAGCAAAGCACTGCGTCCCTTTTTATTTTTTAATATAATTTAAGATCAAATGCGTTATATTGACAGCTGAATAGCTAAAACCAATGGTAGTTATTGAACTACCATTTCTGACTAAACAATCATCCAACAGGCCAGCATCGCTATATGGGAACCACGGTTCCCAGGTTTCTAAGGGTAGCATGCAGACAATCTATAGAAAAGCCTTGAAAACTCTGGAAAAGCCTGGAAAACTGGAATTTGGTGAAAGTTTTTTGAGTTGGAAAAAACTAAACATTACAGAAAATATAAATTTACACATTTGTTCTAATTAACTCGCCAATCAACCATGCAATTGATCAACCAACCAGTCAATCGATCAACCAATCATCCAATCGATCAACCAACCAACCAGTCAATCGATCAACCAACCATCCAATCGATGAACCAACCAACCAACCATCCAATTGATCAACCAACCAGTCAATCGATCAACCAATCATCCAATCGATCAACCAACCAACCAGTCAATCGATCAACCAACCATCCAATCGATGAACCAACCAACCAACCATCCAATTGATCAACCAACCAGTCAATCGATCAACCAACCATCCAATCGATGAACCAACCAACCAACCATCCAATCGATCAACCAACCATCCAATTGATCAACCAACCAGTCAATCGATCAACCAACCATCCAATTGATCAACCGACCAACCAGTTAATCGATCAACCATCCAACCAATCATTCATTCAACCAACCATTACTCCGTTTGTCAATCCATGAGTCCCATTAGAACCAGATCAGAACTTCTCCAGTCAGATGTGACTCTGATCTCTGATAAAAGCCTTCTCATTCTTTTCAAACTAAAAGCCTTCTTCCTCTTCATCTTTCTCCTCCTCTTCCTCCCTAGCAGCCCTACCTTGATCCAAGGATTTCTAGAATCGTCTTTTCCAGCCACCATCACAAGGTGCATCCATCACTCGTGTGTAAACACGTCCGCACACCAGCGCCGCTCACATGCACACACTTGTGCATGTGTGTGTTTGTGCGTATATGTGTGAGTACGCTTCATGAAAGACGCACAACGAGAGGGAAATATGTGTCATGTCCTTGCTCGCCCTCGAAGAAGAGAGGGAGAGAGAGGAATCTATTTCTGTCGAGGTGTTCGAGCCGAGATTTTCCACACACGCTGCTTCAGAGAAAAGGCCAACGGTTCCCCTTCTGGGCAATAACAGATAATAGTGTGAGGAAGACTTGTGAGGAGGAGGAGACAGAAGAAGAGAGGAAGAGAGTGAAGGGGGAGGGGAGCTTGAAGGTAGAATAATGTTCACACACACACACATACGGAGCCGGATAAAAGCGGCGTGTTTACCTAGAGGCATGCCTTTGTTGAGGAGATGTGAGCTTCCCATGGCGTGTTCCCGGCCGGCCAGCGCTCTGCACACAGGAACAGGAATCCAGTCAGCATATGGCGGCCTCCCTCCGTCCTCCCAGATCCTCAGTGACAAGCATACACATGTGCTCCCCCTTTTTCTGTCCCGTCCCCTCCCTTCGCCGCCGCTCTCTCACCCCTCCCTCCTTACCTCCCGCCCCTTCCTTCCTCCTACAGAGAATCGTCCTCCGTCTCACATGCAGAAGAAGAAGAAGAGGGGAAACGTGAAGAGTTTAGGAAGTGCTGCATTCATGGGAACGGGAAGGCGGGAGAGTGAAGGAGACGGTGGGGGAAGTCACAGTGTGTGTGTGTGTGTGTGTGTGTGTGTGTGTGTGTGTGTGTGTGTGTGTGTGTGTGTGTGGGGTGTGTGTGTGTGTGTGTGGAGGGGAGGAGCCGACGTTGGCCAAAATTCATCTTTTGTTTCCTGAAAACCAACAAGGAGGGGAAAAAAAGTCGAGTTATGCAAGACGAAGGCGATGAAGAGGAAAGACCGGTTCTACTGTTATAAACAACAACTGTAACTGTGAAGATCCAGGCAGAAAGTAATATTTAATACAGAATTTCACTGCACTGCAAAAACACAAAATCATAACCAAATGCTATAGCCTGATTTCCACTTCAAATAGTTCAGTTTTCAGGTGTGCTAACTTACAAGAAACTTTCCAGGAAGATGTAGAAGCTTGTTTTTAGTAAATATTTCCTGTGATTGATTTACAAAACTAGTTCCACTGTCAGATTATTTTACTCCTAACACTGGAAAAATCTGTGAAAAAATCAGCCAGTTAGATTCATTTATCACTAATTTGCTCAACAAGATGCTGAACACATAAAAATTTTGCAGAAGCTAACATTAAACTGCTAGACACGTAAAATAATTAGCATGAGCTAATGTATTAGTATAAAATAATTAACACATAATAATGTGTTTAGTGTTATGTGTTAATTAGTGGTAGCTGACAATAAACAAAGATAGCAGAAACTAATTTCAAACTGCTAAACATTAAAAATGAACAGATGGTAACAAAATAATTAGCTGAAGCTAACTGCTAAACATGAAAAATAGAAGAAGCTAACTGCTAAACACATGAAAAATAGAAGAAGCTAACGGCTAAACACATGAAAAATAGAAGAAGCTAACTGCTAAACACATGAAAAATAGAAGAAGCTAACTGCTAAACACATGAAATTATTAGTTTACGCTAAACTGATCAACATAAAAAACTAGCAGAAGCTAATGCTAAACACAAAAATAAACACTAATATGCTAAACACATATGTAGCATACACTTGCATATTGAATTTTGAGCAGTTACTAAAATCAGTCAGTTAACGATGCCATGCAGCTCGTTAAGTTTTCACATTTCCAACATGCTGCTTAGTTCTTCCTGTGTCTGTTTTTAGCAGAGCTGAATAAAGTTTAGCTGCAGACGGTTTCTTCCCTGTGCTAAACAATAACACACACACACACTCTGACACAGAGCGGTAGAGATGGGCTTCTTTGCCTACAAGACAGAATCTGTCAGCATCTCTTGCATCACGACTCTGACCTACAGTCTGACCCAGCCAGAGAGTTTCTTCACATGGCTAGCTCAAAAACAACAACTTATCAACTGTGATAAATATCTACTGCAGGAAATCTGTTGTCATTTTTGACAAGAAACTATTTTAGTTTTATTTTTAGGTTTTAAAATCGTAGTATGTAATTCTGCTTTCTCCCAGTCCTATCTAGAAACAGCCAATCAGAGCCAGGAGGTGGGTCTTAGCGCTGTCAATCACAGCCTCTTATGGCTGCAACCAGCATAGCATGTCATGAATGCTAAGACTAGTTAGCATAGCCACTGATGATGGCAGATAAACAGTTTTTCTGTAACTGAGTCATTTATTCACCATTAGCACATGTAGAGGCGTGTACATTAGGATGATTGACAGCACTAAGCCCCTCCTCCTCCTGGCTCTGGTTGGCTGTTTTTGGTTGGGCATTCCTTCAGACAGCAATAGCAGCTCTGTGAAGAGGTGGAGGAGATCAATAACGACATGGTGGCCATTTGAACAAATTTATAAAGAATATTCCTTACATAAGTTACAGACTGCAGCTTCAAAATAAGACAATAGATACATTTTCATACAGGGCATGTTGATATTTGCACATAATTTCTATACTAATAAGAAAAATACATGTAAAGGCTGAAAAAATTGCTAAAACCTGCATTATTTATGTGTTTATTACTAAATCTTCATAAATTTCTTTGTAATGTTTTAGGTTTTTAGTTGAAGTTCTCTCCCTCCCAGTCTGATTCTCTCTCCTCTTCTTCCTCCATCTCCACTGCAGCATGTCTAATGGTTCTGCTGCAGATCTGATCAGCACCGGCCATATCAGAACCGACAGCGAGCCAGACCCAGAGCTATCACACACCCTGGCCGTTAAAACTGTCTGCATAACCTGCAGCTGCTGCACAAGAAGCATGCAGGAGAGGCCTGAACATCAGAGACAAACAGGAATCAATGAGCCGCAGAGCAGCGAGGAGGCTGCAGCGAGGAGGCTGCAGCGAGGAGGCTGCAGCGAGGAGGCTGCAGAGAGGAGGCTGCAGAGAGGAGGCTGCAGCGAGGAGGCTGCAGCGAGGAGGCTGCAGCGAGGAGGCTGCAGAGAGGAGGCTGCAGAGAGGAGGCTGCAGAGAGGAGGCTGCAGCGAGGAGGCTGCAGCGAGGAGGCTGCAGCGAGGAGGCTGCAGCGAGGAGGCTGCAGAGAGGAGGCTGCAGGCGACGGACCGCGCTGCAGGCGACGGACCGCGCTGCAGGCGACGGACCGCGCTGCAGGCGACGGACCGCGCTGCAGGCGACGGACCGCGCTGCAGGCGACGGACCGCGCTGCAGGCAACGGACCGCGCTGCAGGCGACGGACCGCGCTGCAGGCGCAGGCGGCTCCTCCGCATGGAGAGAGGAGCAGGATTTATGTCCACTGTCACAGAGGGAGATTTCACTCAGGAACGTATTTCCCTTTTCTTCCATTTTCTTGTTCACGCGGTGAAGACAAAGTGTAAAAATGTGACAAATATACAATATATATCTGAATTGGAGCAAACATTGCTGATTAATATATTTAATCAGCAGAAACAAAAAAAAATCATTTCTTAATTTTAATTCAAATTCCAACAAATGATTATTTTATTAACAGGTTGATTAACTGATTAGTTCGATTTATAAAAAGGCAAAGTGGATATTTTTCATTTAACCCTTTTTTTCCAATATTAGAAATACATTTTAAAAATGTAAATAAACAATTCAGTCATTTTAAATAAGAAAATATTCCCCTTTCAGGTCTTCTCACTTTTTGCCAAGTTATTGCATTTTTTTGCCTAAAATTAATGTAAATTATGAGTTAATTGTGTTTCTTTTAACTTATTTGTTTTGGCACTCCATAGAAGAGATGTGATGAACAGGAATATTTCTGCTTTTATGGCTGCTGGTCCATAAACTAAACAAAAAAACAAATCAAAGTACAACTTTAAGAGATTCAACGAGAGTCCACAAAAAAAGGATTTTTAATTTCCTTTGCTGCCAAAATCGCTTTTCTCATTCAGAAAATATAATAAAGAAATATTTAAAATATGTTCCCACCATTCATGCATTGAGTGATAATTATTTATTAATAATGCCAGAAATTCTCCAACTATTAGTGGCAGAATTTATGGCCATTTCCATTCGGGTTTTGTGTCTGTTAACATTCAAGGCTCAACTTGAAAGAAAAAAGGGAAAATTTCAAAGTGATAAAACTAATCTGAAAACCATTCAGCCTTCCTGTTAGTTGCTAAAAATCTTCTTCTCTCCCTCAACCTGACTGAAATGTTCAAACCATTTGTAATTTGCTTATTACATCTCCAAGCAACCCTGATATTTCAATCACCAGAAACAGCTTCCACACCGAAGAGTGTTGCAACCATAAACAGGAAAGTGATGAATTTGTATTAAACGATGCAGTAAGGCTAATTGTTACCAGAAACCTTTTCAAATCGTAAAGTCAGGATTCTGATTTAATCTCTATATTTTCCACTTCATAAAAGTCAGAAACTTAAGGTCTTAAAGAACCATCGAGTCAGAATTGCTTTTCTCAGTAACCCTAATCTTCTTCCGTAGTTCAGGAGTCTAAAAAGGGGAAGAAGAGTTGTGGTGCGTTCAGGGTACTTCAGAAGTAACTGTTCAAATTGAGTTCAGATTTCTACATTTCATCGAGATAGTTTGCAGAATCTCAGACAAACATGTTTTAAGTTGTACTTTCCATCAGACAACATCAGTTTGTTTTAGTTTAAGTTTGAGGCGTTATAAATGACATTGATTTCAGACACACTCTGACATGTTTGTCTTGTGAAATAACGCGAGAAGAAGCCATAATGAAACGCGTCGGCCTGACAGGTTCTAACTGGAGGTCATCGGAGCTGCTCCCGCATTCCCAGTGGAAAATCCGCCATCCATTCGCCTTTAACTGATTTTCCCAGTTTCCATTCCAACTGGAACACATCAGAATCTGCGTCAGTATCGGCACCGTGTCGGCAGGTGGCGGTAGTGAGCACTGAGGCGATTCTGAGCTGAAGGGGGAAAAACAACAAAAACAGCCAGCAGAAAAGCACAGAACCAAGATGGCGGTGCAGGAGACAGCAGCCCAGCTGTCCATGGCTCTGAAGGTCCAGGAATATCCCACCCTGAAGGTAAACACGGCACTCACCGGCATCCGTCTCTGGTTCGGGGAGCTCCGGGTTCCCGGGGGGTTCGGTTCTGTTTTAAAGAGGTTGATTGGTGGTTAATTTGAGAGTGGCTAAGGTTAGCTAAGCTAGCATGGCCAGAACATCAGGCTGTTGGGTTTAAAGGCAACAATCAGAACCGTTTACTCTTTTAAACGGGTTCGGTGCTGATCTGCTTGCTCGCGGTTCGGCTTGTTGGGACGGAATCCCTCGAAAGGTCAAATTCTGGCCAGTTTTAGGCAAACTGGACCCACTGCGGGTTAGTTCGGTCCCGTTACCCGCAAAATCTGAGAGTTCTAGTAAAATGAAAAAGTTCTGACTGGTGCCCGACCCGGTTCGGGTT